CCTATACTCATTATAAATGATTTTTTTATATGCATATAATAAAAAAAAATGTTAATCTGGTTAAATTTTTACCAAAATAGATATTTCCAGAACATTTTACCAATCTACCTAACCTGCATGTTAATGTTCATTTGTTACAAAATGCACAAAATTTTGCGATATTAAGAAACATCACAGTTGGTATTAAGGAAATGATTCACCACATCTTTAAAAGCATGGTCCTACATACCAATAAAAGAATTATCGAACTGGGCCTTACACAGCGATATAATACAATAAAAGCATTAAGGCTTATTATTGATGGTTGGAAAGATCCCCAGTTTAGCATTAATACTAATGCACTTTCTAACCTTATCAAGAACCCGCTTCTTTATAAAGTTTTCTCCAATTGGTATGCTATTGAAAGCCCATTATTGTATTCACTGAATGAAGAAAATAAAAGTCATGATAAGTAAATTTAAGTTTTTACTATATGATCTTAAAATAATGAGATGAGCATTATAGTAAAATCTTCATAAGTGCACCCTTTCTAAATGCACACCCAAATTTCAGCTAAAATATATTCATGATCTTCACAAATGTGCTTTTTCTTATTGTTTTCTAAATGCATGTTGTTGGTCCTGTATCTTGAAAATTAGATATTTTAAAACCCACACATAGCAACATTTACAAATTGTGCGATATCCACACAAGTTTTATTTGAATCAACACTACTTGCAGATATTTCAAAATAATGCTCACCTCAAGCACCTTAACATTGTCATGCTTGAATTTAGCATTTACCTAAAGTTGTACCTGCTCGAAGTTACTAACTAAATTCATGCAAGAAATCTAAATTACAACTAAATTTCAAATTAAGCATAATACCAAACATACTCAAATAAGTGTAGATGATCAAAATATACAGATGCCTATTATTTTAAGATTATAATAATCTTTTTAGTTTGTTCTATATATTAATATTAATATAAATTAGAGTTTGAAGTCAGGTTATTTTTTATATTTTAAATCTGATAAATTTATTTTTAAAATATAAAGAATATATTTGGTTTCAAACTCTAATATCCATGTTCTTAGATATAGAGTGTATCACTTGTTGTAATAAAGACTTTATTAATATTATACCTAAAAACAAGTAGAATCTTAGAAAATTAGAGAATATAGGTTTATCTAATATGTCCTCACTTTTCCAAGATCTTTATCAATCATATACAAAGCACCTTGGATTAAAAAATGCACTCTTAAATAAGAAACTTGTGTTTTATGGTTATATTACATACACTGTTCTTAATATCGAAGATCCTGTTAAATTAAAATTCCATGTCAGTGATATTATAGAGCTGGTTGAAAATTCTAAGAAAATCACTTATACTAGGATTAGAACAATATTTACACATCAAGGAACTAGTAAGAAGACCTATGTGTTTTTTCAATGTGACAGGTTTCAGGAGATGAACATTGTTGATCCAATACTTGGATGTCCACTCTATAAAGTTCGAGCATCTGAAGGGGCATACATTTTCCCAATAAA